TTACTGAGAAATATTTGAAGTCCGCCAGCAAGCAGCAACCCCGTTACAATGAAGCAGTATCTAAGTGTAAGCAGTATGAAGTTGGTGATGTTGTTGGAGTGCCCATTCATGAAGCAGATCGGACTAACACAGAGTTTTACCTTGCAAAGTTTAGAATACCAAGAACAGTGACATCACAACTTGTTATGAACTTTACTGTAGTTTTGGCATTCTACTTTCAGGGGTGACAAGCTTATAGAAATTAGCAGCAGAAGTTGGTACTAGGACAAAGTAAAATTGGACTTTGACCTCGGGGGATTTTAAATTCTCCTTGATTTCAGTTTCTACTGTGACATATATTGATGAGATCTTGGTCAAACTACTGACGAAACAAGATAGACTACAATTATGAAGCATTTAGTAGCCATGTTTCTGGAGACCATTACACAGCGCACAGAAAAAAAACGAAACTGGTAATGCATTAGGAAATAAAGACAACCCCAAAGACTTCTGGAAATTTATCCACTCTAAGACAAAATGCACCACTCAATCAAGAAATTGATAACAGAAGAAGGTGCAGGCCTAACAGGAGTTCTAGAAAAAAAAACCATTGAACTCAATAACTTCTTCAGTTTAGTTTTCACGCTAGAAGACACCTCAAATAAACCTCCAGCCAATGATCAGCAATCAGCAACAAACTACAAGAAGATAGCTTGCGATGCAAGGTAACATACGCTCACTGGCAGCTGTCAAAAATAATATAAAAAGTCTTTAGTTACTAAAGTACGAATTTTCTCATATTGAAGAAATTATTTATGCTGAATAATTCCACAAAATTTTTAAAAATCAATATCAATAACCCAAATACAACAAACAATTAAATCACACACCTCTAATCAAGGGCAAAAAAAAACTTTAGACGCGTGTTTACAATGTCAAGGGCAATAACTCAAAAAATGTTCATCAAAAATATCTCTTGTTAGAACTTGTCCGAGATCTTATCAATTCCAATGATCACACCAAGTTTCATCAAAATCGGTTGAAAACTGTAGCTTCTATTGTGCTCACGAACAAATTTTGACGTGTATTTCGTAAGTTAATGGCAATAACTCAAAAACATTTCATCGAAAATGCATCAAGTTAGAACTTGTCCGAGATCTTATCAATTTCAATGATCACACCAAGTTTCATCAGAATCGGTTGAAAACTGTAGCTTCTATTGTGCTAACGAACAAATTTTGACACGTTTTTACAAAGTCAAGGGCAATAACTCAAAAACCGTTCATCAAAAATGCATCAAGTTAGAACTTGTCCGAGATCTTATCAATTCCAATGATCACACCAGTTTCATCAGAATCGGTTGAAAACTATAGCGTCAATCCTGCTCACAAACTATTTTTAACAAATTGCGACGCATTTTAACAAAGTCAAGGGCAATAACTCAAAAACCGTTCATTGAAAATGCGTCAAGTTAGAACTTGTCCGAGATCTTATCAATTCCAATGATCACACCAAGTTTCATCAGAATCGGTCGAAAACTGTAGCTTCAATCCTGCTCACGAACTATTTTTAACAAATTTCGACGCGTTTTAACAAAGTCAAGGGCAATAACTCAAAAACCGTTCATCGAAAATGCGTCAAGTTAGAACTTGTCCGAGATCTTATCAATTCCAATGATCACACCGAGTTTCATCAGAATCGGTTGAAAACTGTAGCTTCAATCCTGCTCACGAACTATTTTTAACAAATTTCATGATAATATTGTTCATAGTAAACTAAAAACAATCAGTACATAACATATACTATACTTCTCGCCCATCGGGCGAGTTATTTTTTCTAATTTCAGATCAGAATAAGAACAGAAGAAAACCCAATATCAAGACCCTTAGTCCTAATTTCTAAATAAAGTGTCTGCTCCACCCTAGGCCTGTACATTTGGGAGAATCAAACCCTCCCTTCCCCGAAATCAAAAACCGATCATCGAAAATGCGTCAAGTTAGAACTTGTCCGAGATTTTATGAATTCCAATGATCACACCAAGTTTCATCAGAATCGGATGAAAACTGTAGCTTCAATCCTGCTCACGAACAATTTTTTTAACAAATTTCAAGGCGTTCTAAGTCAAGGGCAATATCTCAAAAACCGTTCATCGAAAATATGTCAAATTCGAACTTGACCGAGATCTTATCAATCTAAAGCATCACACCAAGTTTTATCAAAATCAGACGGACCGACGGACAGGGGCGACGACAATATACGACCACATATTCATGTAGGCCTAAAAAAGGTTACTAAACAGCTAGGGGATCTAGATCTCTCAAAGTCAACCGGTCAAATGGTTTCCATCCAAAGGTATTGAAAGAAATGCCACCAGTCTGTAATTGTTTAAGCCAATGGAAGTACTCAACTACATAACAGAAAATCTAGATTCTTCCATACCCATAGATGCAATCTACGTGGACTTCCAGAAGCCGTTCGACAAGGTTCCACATAAGAGAATCACTATCAAAATGCAAAATCTTGGCATATCTAGTAAAAAGTTGGTGGAAAACTTCCTAACCAACAGAAGTCATGCTGAACCAAATCACACCACCTTAGATGGATGTTTATAGTAGAGTCCTTCAGGGTAGTGTCCTAGGCCCAGTACTTTTCCTCGTATTTTAACAATTGATGGTGTATTGTTTACAGTCATTAAATTATTTGCAGACGACACAAAGCTTATTGGTCCTAATAGACAGTAGTCTGATATCGGCAATCTCCAATCAGATTTGAACAATCTAGTAGAATGGTCAAATAAATGGATGATGTCGTTCAACATTGAAAAATGCAAGTCACTCCACTTTGAATTCAACAACTCGAAACACCAATATTACATAGGTGACTCAAACAGACCTCTTAATCAAGGAAAAGGACTTCGGAGTAGTTTTTCAGGATAACCTCAAAGTCACCCATATTGTAGATACTATCAAAAAGGCAAATAGATTAGGAATGATAAAAAAAACATTTGCCAATCTAGACAAAGAAATATTCCTGTCACTATATAGCCTAAGATTCTAATTAGACCACATCTAATGATTAGGACATGGAAAAAGCGTCCAGTCGTTTGGATGGGACAATAAACTGTGTGTTACAGGCTGTGCACGTTAAAGATCCCTCGACAGTTGGAAATCGAAAAAGAGCAGGCTAATGCCGCAGTTCTGGCAAAATTTCCCACATCGCACCCTGCATGGCGTTGCCCGTCTTCATTAACCCACATGGTGCAGACAGAAAAGTAGGACGTAAAACTCCATTCAATTCAAGGGGAGCCGCGGTGGCTCAGTGTGTTAGACGCTTGCTCGCTAACCTGAAGGTCCAGGGTTCAATCCCGGCATAGGTCGAGATAATACCTTCGGATTTTTCAACCCGGTTTCCCCCTGTCAGTGATGCAGGTAAGAGGGGCTGACATGGAAAAAGCGTCTAGTCGTTCGGATGGGACAATAAACCGAGGCCCGGTGTGCTACAGGCTGTGCACGTTAAAGATCCCTCGACAGTTGGAAATCGAAAAAGAGCAGGCTAATGCCGCTGTCCTGGCAAAATTTCCCTCATGGCACCTTGCATGGCGTTGCCCGCCTTCATTAGCCCACAAGGTGCAGAAGAGTAGGACGTAAAACTCCATTCATTTCATTTCATTTCATTTCCATTCAATTCAATTCAATTCAATTCAATTCAATTCAATTCAATTCAATTCAATTCAATTCAATTCAATTCAATTCAATTTCAATTCAATTCAATTCAATTCAATTCAATTCAATTCAATTCAATTCAATTCAATTCAATTCTAAGGATTATGGTGGTTGAAAGGTTAATATGTTAAAATGTAATTTCGTACTCGTAGTCGAAAGACCTAAAAAAAAAAAAACAATATTTATAATAATATATTATCAAAAAAAAACTACTTTAATTCTTGCACTAAAATTATAAATCAATGATTTTTTTAAAAAAAATTATAAATTAAGCAAATATCTATTTAAAGAAAACCAAATGCTAATTGGGCTTAAGAAGGACGTAATAGGTACGGTATCGAAAATGTACAAAGGCGTACAACTTAAATACTTAGCCCAGAAATCTGGAATATCTGCCATATCCAGATGGACTCAGATTTTTAAGGCCTTACCAACTCTTGAATAGCTTCGAAAAAAAGCCGATGTGGTACAAGTATTCAGATTCATCAGAGGTGAAGACAACCATATAGGCCTAAACGATAATCTATTAACTTACTTACTCGAAAGAAATAATAACCAGGAGCAACGACGAAAAATGACAAATAATGTGTTAGAAAAAAAACACTGCTTTTGTCACAGAATAGTAAACATTTGGAATTCCTTACCAAATTCTGTCGTTGAGTCAACAATCCCGAAACCGTTCAAATCCAACCTTAACACTGCGTGGAAAGATGACAAGTAATATTAAAAAAATATTAATATTAGAAATATTACCCAAGCACCGTGCTATTTAACGACAAAGACTTTATTATGAACAGAACAGTCAAAAATTACAAGCAGAATTCCAATGAGTGACCGATCAAGAAAGATCAAAAAGTCTTTTTTTGTTTACGTGGAGATTTATTACTGTTTAAGAAAAAAAATGATATTCATTAGTAACACCAATAAATCAAATATTTTGCTTGATTTGACACTAAAAAAGAAGGAAACCCATTTTTAAACCAGGACATGATGTTTACCTTTTAGATAAGGATTTGTAATATAAAATAACGAAATAATATAGGCTAGTTTTGGCCAGGTGAGCCCCTCTAATTAGTGAGAAAGTTTATGGTATTTTCAATAAATCGAGCAAGTTTTGTTAGATGTTTAACTACGTGAAGTGAATATTTAGTAGTGGTATGTGAGAATAGGTGAGATGTTCAGTGTTGCTACCCTTGCTTCTATTTTTAGCTTCAACTTCATCAAATCTTGAATTCTTTACAAAATGTCCGGCAATTGAAGGCTAACTTTATAAACATCCTTACTCCTTATTGGATTATTATGCGAGTTAATGCTATGATTGAATTATTTATGTGTATTATCGTACATCAAGGTTGGAATGTTGAAACTAATTTAACAAAGGTAGGTTACACAAACAAAGTCAGGAACACTTTCAATAAAGGTGTAGGCCTAATTGATATGAACTTTTAAGTTCTACCTGGAGGTATCCATACCTTATGACTGTAGGGTATGTTAATTGAAATTTGGGCTGGGTATTTTAATGAACTTTTTGTTAACTAAATTGAAAAGTTTATGGTTGTTATGTTTAAAGTTTTTAGGCCAGGAAATCGGTAACTTAGAAAGTAGGTCAATCCTAAAACTCGCTCATCAATCTGTTGTTGTAGTGTATCTCGAATCTTTTTAAATCAAATTAAAGAACTGCAGCATACTAATAAACTGAGTAGGCTACTAATAAACTGAGTAGGCTACTAATAAACTGAGGAATCAATACTATCTGTAAAATTTACTGTCAATACTGGCACAGTTCCATATAGGTCTACTGTGATATTGTATTACTATTGGTAAAAGTTACAATCTTCCATCATAAGGTTAGGCTAGATCTAATTTACATGTTATTCATAAAGCTGATCAAATTACATTTAGAAGCCCACCCAGACAAATTTACAAAAGGCAAACGAGCAAAGGCCTATAAATGAAATAGTCTGGTTTAGAAAAGTAGGATACAAAACTATCAAATTTCAAACTAGCCTAGCCAAAAGATGCCACTGAACCAGATGAAATACTTTAAGCTGAAATAAATCAAAATAAAACAAAAAAGTTATCATGACACCTAGCAGAAGTTTCATACACTACAATTAAAATCAAAAGTCAACTTCTGTCAAATATCTGCCTCTGATATAGATTACATTGTATTAATAAAATTATCTTAGTGATTATAGAGATTCTATTCTATTAAGTCTAACTGGTGAAAAGGTAACTTGTTGATTATGTTTGAGGTTGTAAAAAAAGGTAGTATTCCTTTAAATTAATACCGGTATCTGGTAAAGTGTAGAGGTTCCTTTTTCTAATATTTTTGAGTCTCCATTAATCTAACCAGTTACTACTGCAGTCCTCTTTTAATGATGTTATTTTTAACCAATCAAAGCGTGTAATGTAGAATCTGTTTCTGCAAATAGCAAATCAAAAGTGGAGCATTTGACAGCCTCCTTGCAGCCAATATCCCATTTTCAAGAAAAAGGTCCTACATGACATGCCATGGTAATAAAAAACATTATTATAACAGGATTGAATGGAACTGCAGATTTAATGAACAACCACTAAAGTTTCAAAGTTTGTTTTGATTGAAAAATCAACTTCCACTGAGCTGTGTGTTATAATCATACTACCCACTGTTTCATGGGTTATTCCTTATAGATCCAATCACATTGGTTAACATGGCATCAGCTTCAAGGAAACTATTTATTTTGACTAGAGATTTTGGAACAAAATATTTTGATTATTGATACATCAAAATCTATCATGATGATATGCTATTAAATTTTCTACCAAATAGAGAAATACACTGCAACTTTCCGTTACCTCTCTAACCTTAAGGAACTTGTAACATTATTAGTAAGATTGATAATTTTACCTTTTAAATAAATCATTTCATGATATAAGAAATAAGAAAGATACATTGTGCTCCATCATTGTTTCTTATGGAAGAATTTGTGTTGTTTTTTTAACTACAGCTAAATTATAAACAAATTTAGAAAATGGATATAAATGATCGATCGAAGTGAAAAGATAACATAATAATAAATATCAAATATGACCAAAAATTCATTTATTTATAATTATTTTTCAGTTGATATGCCTGTAACAAAGCATAAAGGGAAAAGTTCCTCTGTTGATTGTATGGAACATGGTGGAACAATTCCAGTCATAATGAATCAAGATGATATTATAGCTCTTACACAAAATGTCAAAGATTTTTCTGATACCCTGGCAAAACTAAAGAGTATTTTTTTGGAAGGAAGAGGTAAGAATGTCAGAAAGCAGATAGATTAAAACACATTGCCTTAAAGATGGGTTCCCTTATTTTCATTTATAAGAATGTTAATACTTATATGAATAGAAAGTAAAGGTGTTCTTATGACATACCAGTTTGTCTCACATGTCCATAATTAATTCATAATATTAATACATGGACATTTATCATTGGTTAAAAATCCTATTTATATGCAATAAAAACGTAATGATATGATTAAGAATACATGATAATTCATTAGAAACACTGATTAATCAAACAGTTTGCTTAATTTGACACTAAAAAATAAGGAAACTCATCATTAAAGGCCCAAAGAGATTTTTTGCAGTAAAACAAAATAACAGACAAGAAAGCTATGTTCTTGTTATTAAAGTTTAAAAATAATTTGTCAGGAAAATATATTAAACCTATTTGTTCGATTATTACTCACCAACTTTTGGTATTTTTCAGATAATGAAGAAGTTAAAGTTATAGCTCATGAAAGACTTGGCGAAGTTTTATTAATACTGAAAAATGTGTTACAAACCTACCCAGCTCTCCATTCAACAGATCTCTTTTCAGCTTCAGCAAATCTGATAGCAAAAATTAAGAGTAAGTTTCTTTTTATGTTTGATGTCCATCTGTTACTGTCAGTAGTAGATAATGTTAATGATGTCTTATGACATTGACAACCATTGGAAACTAAGGCTGCAACGTTTAGCACTTTCTGTAAACGTTTACACGAAAGTTATTAATCGAAACGGTACCGTTTAAACAGATTGTGACGAATTTTCAATAGACTTGTAAAATGGTGTAGTCATAGTTATATTGTATGACAGAGGAAATGAAATATAAATTTTCTGCCATATTTTTTTTTACGTCACGTGACAGCTTATTGGCCAAAATAAATTAAAAGTAGGACTACAACATTATTGAGGAATGTCGTAAAAAATAATTGTCATCACAGCTAAGAGGCTTAAAAAGCATCACGAATGTTGGATCAACGCCTTTAAGATTACGTTCATGAGAAGGTGGCAGGCTGAAAGGCTGGAAAAAAACGATCTATTTATAGAACATTTATTAACCAACCACAAAAACGCATCTTCTTTCACTTTAAAGATACGGGTAATTCAAGATGGCTAATTTGTTTCTCCAAAAATTTGGGACTTTTTTGCGTGGAACTGTGTAGAGTAGCAATAAAACAAAGACAGCTCTAACAGTTTTAAGGCATCTATGATCAACTTGCATACGTAATACGTTTGTACATACATACGTTAGAAAACTTACGTAAGAAAACCTATCGGAGGGAATATCAAAATCAAAACTACCGACAGAAGTTATTTTTTTTTTTTTAAAGGATTGTCCATTTTCTAAACGTTTAGTGGCCAAAATGTTTTCGTTTACACGTTTAATTGTTGCAGCCTTATTGGAAACCCTTTACAATTTGAACAAAGTGGAATTATAAACACAAGCAGAGGGTTATATCGTTAGCTTCATAAAAGACATGTGGAAGATTTTGATTTTTTTAATGTAATTTCATACTGTTCATAATGTTATTTCTTAGATTGAACCAGGAGTGGGTAGTTTTGTTTGGCAATATTTCAAAATATTATATCTATTTTCAAAATTTAGAAGGCAATTTTTTCATGGAAAAAACTTTTGGAGGTTTATTTTTGGCTGAAAATGTCATGCTCTTAGTTCAATAAAAGAGAAGAAATTACAGTATTTTAAAATGACTGATATTTCCAAATGGTTCGACCTTTAAAACAGTAATTTAGTGAAAAGATATCTATATCCATATAAATATGAGGTCAAAAAATTATAATCATAGCATTGATACTTTTTGAAAAATTCTGAAATTTTCTTGGCCACACGATATAGTATTTTATGTATATGATACAGGTAACAAAATATTTTTACTGTTAAAATAGTGCTTAGTAATAGTAGAAATATTACAGGGTTTGCACAGCATTGAAAAACTTTGATTTCAAGTCTTTGAAAACACCATAAAAAACCCATTTTCTCTTGAAAAGTCTTTGAATTTTGAGTTGAGTCAAATTGTGTATATTTTTATCATTAACCCCATTGACAAATATTAACTATCTTTATTGATTTCACAGTTCAGAAGTAAGGTACATGTGTATTCTGTCAGACTAATATCATTGAAAAGTCCCTGAATTTCAAAGCCCAGACCTTGTAAAGTCTTTGAATTTTTGAGGCAAAGTGCTGTATGAACCCTGTATTAAAACAGAACCTGAAACATTATTTAGAGTTTCACACTGTGCGAATCTCAGACAACTGACCATGCTTTATTTATATTATTTCTATGTAATTGTATATTATAGATTATGACTATCAGAATTGTATATTAAGTGAAGATGTTAGTAGTTTCTGTGATTGTATTGATCAATTAGCTCTAGCTTTTAGTAGCAGGTACTTTTTTATTTTCATTCCTTTCAAATTCATTAAATAATGGAACACTACTAATAAATTTGAATAAATTTACATCGTCATAAAATGAATTTCCCGATGATGACAATTACATCTGTGTTAATCTTCAGACTGCTATATTATAAGGACAAATTCGCCATTTTTTTTCCCAATCATACTTAAGCCTCAAAAACAGGAATTTTCTATCTAAGCCAATCAGTAATAGTGTTCACAACTCACTGTCAAAATTTTAGCCTTCAAATCCACGTTTGAATGTTAAAATGACGACTCATTAATTTAAGATACTCTTAAAACACATATATAGAAATAATGAGTAATATTCCTGTATTTTGAAAGGAATTATGCGATTTTCTTACAATTCTAGTACTTAAATAATTCAATACTAAAATAAAAAATGACGCATCTGTCCCTTTAAAAGATTATACGATATAGGCCTAATGATTTCTGATGGAAAGTTGTGATTAAGACTCAAAACAAAACCTACAAAGATTGGTTGTAAGTGAAAAGAATATTTTATAAAACATTCTATTATTTTAATTGAGTTACATGTGAAACATATTAAAGATGATATATTAATTGAATATTTACAGTGTGTCTGAATATTTAATGGGTGATGTTTTACTAGATATTGTTTCAGATGGCAGAACTAAGGTTAGTTTTTCAAATATTTTATGTTTTACTTGGATATGATCACTGTCACAGGGTTCAAACTTGCACTAATATATTAAATGGGATTGAATAAATAAAGTTTTATGTCCTACTCTTCTGCAACTAATTTAGCTAATGAAGACGAGTAATTCTATGTAGTGTGCAGTGAGGAAAATTTTGTCAGGAGAGCAACATTAGCTTACTCTATTTCCCATCTGAAAAATAGATGTTTTTTCATCCTCATCTTATCTGCATCACTGACAGGGGGCAATGTTGTTATTAGCTTGACCTATTCCTGATTAAACCCTGGACCTTGAGATAAGGCAGCAAGCATCTAACTCACTGAGCCACCTTGGCTCCCCACTGATATTTTATAACATTGTTAATGTATATCTATTGTGAAATTCTTTTATACTAAATTCTATTTTTATATGCCCACATGCATTGGGGCCGTATATTGTCGTCACCCATGTCCATCCATCTGTTCACAATTGCATGTAAACACTCTACAAGACACAATTCTTGACGGATTTTGACAAAACTTGGTGTGACTGTTTGTTATCAATCAAGGATAAAACCTATTGAAAATCAGAAAAATCGAAAAATATTTAGTATGAGTTATTGCCCTTGCTCTTGAAAATGCATTCAATTTTTAGCTCATATTTATTCTACAAGGCACAATTCTTGACGGGTTTTGATGAAACTTGATGTGAATGTTCGAAATCATGCAAGGATAAACCCTATTTTAACGAAACTTGGTATGAGTGTTCATAATCACCCAAGGACGAACCCACTTGAAAATCAGAAGAATTAAAAAATATTTAGTATGAGTTATTGCCCTTGTTCTGGAAAATGCTTTCAAATTTAGCTCTTAAACACTTAAAGGCATGATTCTTGCTGGATTTTGACCAAACTTGGTTTTATTATTCAGTCCCATGCTGAAGATTGAATATTTGCCTTCTAGAGTTTTCACGAGCTAAAAATTGAACATGTTTTCCAAGAACAAGGGCAATAACTCATACTCAATATTATTCAGTATCGCCCTAAATAGTTCAAAAGAAGTGTATGACTGAAGGTTGAATATTTCATACTGGTGATTGTTACTTTACTGCTAAATATTTTTATTCAAAATCAAAGCTACCAGTGGGCGTATATTACCTTGCCTGGCAAGCTATTTTAGCATTATATGAAAGAATAATAACTATAAAACTTGTATATTGTGTATATTGCTATTTGATGACATTACATTTTCTTTGGTCATATGATAACATGTGGAGGATAGTATATTACTATTTTATCTGCAATGTTTTATTATTGTTTGTTGAAATTTTACTATATTGTATTTTGTAGTCATTTGATAATTTAACCACTGCTGGAGGTGAGGAAACTGGGAGAGAATGTGCCAATGGATCTGTGGAAGGTAGGTGAAAATATTGAATGCTCTAGATAGGAAAGTAATGATTAGTGCTGTCATGATATGTGTATTGTATTCACTTGACAAAAGCGACGTTGACAAATAGACAAATTAAATATCAAAAGTGCATGAAATTACCAATTTGTGATACATTACAACCAAACCAATGGATGATAAATTACTAGTAATATTATTCCAGTAGTTCAAATAATTGAAAGTTAAAAGAAAACCGCTTCATTTTATCGCCAGCTCTGTCGTTGGGTGGGGCCCATGGAAGCATGGCTCCAGCAAGTGAGAATTAAGCCCCAGCAAAACCTTATTCAGTTCAGCATAGAGATTGATTCATTTACAGTGTCTTTGTACATTATCAAATAGATATAGATTTTGATGTGTTTTTGGCAGCTCCAAATTGTCAGAAATGAGATCTCTGGACCTTTAATTCTTCAAAATAAGTACAAAATCTGAGCCCCAGTACCAATTCATTCCTGGCAATGGTGCTGTTTATCCTCCATTTCATGACACTAGATTAATGTTTATATGACCATCTTTTAGTCAATCTATCTTGTCATAGTAAATGTCAATTTTTGGAGGGAAAAACTGTACCCTTGATCTTTTAGTTCTTAATTTTTACTTAATTATTTGTAGCACCTCTTTTTGAAAATGATGTGGACAGTATTCTAGTTCAAGTTGAAGCAGGATTAGACCTTGCTCTTCAGAGAGCTAAAGCCTGGTCTAAATATGCTCGAGACATTATGAGTTATATTGAGAAGAAAGCCTTGTTGGGTTAGTAGATTTCTATACTAGATCTTCTGTTATTTAAAGATGTGTAGTTAAGTGTACATTTAACAAAAGTTAGAAATCAGCTATCTAAGATATTGTGATATAGAGTTTGATATTATGATGATATAATTAAAGAAGACTAATAATGATATGATATACTGGGCATCGTTACAATATTAAACAAATTTCGCAGCCAAATTGAAATGATAGATGACCAACCTCATTAATGATTTCATTTTGTTTTCTGTCTGATTGGAAAACACAATTTCTTTGACACAAAATGTGGAACATGAAGCTCACAAGAAAGTGTCTGTAATTGTGAAGCCCACTTTTGTTTAACTTTCACAGTTCCAACAAAATCAGCCACTTCTAAAAATGGGGCAAATCATTTGGTCCTGTACATGGCAGATTTTCAGGAGTTTCACTGTACTTAACTCTATGAATCTAATAATCGACACACATCCTGAAAATGTAAAACATTGTAAATTTGGGTAAATGACCAGAGTAGGACATTTTAACCTTAACTATAATCCATTAACTTGTGGAAGCCATGAACTATCATGTTGTTACTCTGCTGTGTTTGTGAATATGTATTTAGTAGAAATAAGGATCAAATTTTTAAATCTTTTGTATTTTAGAAATCGAGTATTCCAGAAACCTTCAAAAACTTGTACAGTCAACAAAACAAAACTTAGCAGATGAGGTATTTTATTTTGGTTTTGGATTGTAATTGAAAGATTTTCACTTCAAGTACATTATCAACAAATAAAGCACAAAATATAATACCTATAAAAAGTAAACAATTTCTTTATGCAATCATACTGTGTCAAGGTTGGCTGGTGCAATAATTTTCATTATTAATTATATTTTATTATCAATTGTTTTTACTGATTATTGCAGGGCTTTTTACCACTTCAATCAGTGTATTGTACTGTACTGACACAAGTAAGTCATAGAGGTTTATATTATAATCTACTGATCTCTACAATTGTTGTATATTGTAATCCGCCCGTCAGTACACATTTGGCTTGTGCTCACTCTACATGCTACAATTCTTTATGCTCAGTTCACACCAACGGCGCTTTGATGGCGCTTTAAAGCGGCGTACAAAGCGTTACAAAGCTCGACTTAAGCGCCAGGGTCTTAATAGATCGTTGGAAAGCTTTGAGCAAAGCTGGATATTCGGCAAGAGCGCCAAAAAATTTTAAACTGTTTAAAAATTTTGGGCGCTCTGTCACGAATTGATTAAAGCGCCGAGAACGTATCAAAGCTTAACAAAGCGTAACAAAGTTCAGCAAAGCTTGACTCAAAGTGTAGGAAAGCTTAACAGAGCTTTATTCAAAGCGGGGACCCCAGTCTTCACGGTCTGTCACCACTTGATCAAAAGCGGCAGGAAAATCGGCCATTTCGAAATTTTCCAATGCGTAACAGAGCTTAACAATGCACAACAGAGCTTGATAATCGTATCAGAGTGTGATTTAAAGCGTTATAACTGCATCAAAGCTTATCAAAGCGTGATTTAAAGCGTAACAAGGCCTGATCATATCGGGAGATAATTCGTCCCCAAAGCGTAACCAATTCGTATCAGAGTTTATCAGAGCGTAACATTACTTAGGAGATCGTGATATTTTTGGAAAAGTAAACAAAAAATGATGGCGCTTTGCTCGCCGATTTAAAGCGCGGCATTCGCCGTTGGGGTGAACTAGGCATTATGGATTCTTTTGATTTATATTTTGTTGGTCAATGTTATTATGAATTATCTGTCTGTTCACACTTGGCTTGTGCTGGCTCTACAAGCTATAAACATTTTGAACTTGCAATAATCCTTCATTGGCATATTAGATAAATAATTTTATGTATAGATACTTCCAGAATATAATCAAAACAAATGGGGTTCGGAAACAAGTTGAGGCTTATGTTAATCTGTCACCTAATACAAAATACAAAAATATGATATACTATTATTAATATATAAAAGAAGAAGTGCATAAGGTTTCTACACTGGACAGGGGTCGTAATCACACTGAAGCTACAGATACGAAAAGCCCATCTACAGTTGGATTGACTGTGCAATACTATACCTACTATAACATTTTTTTATGTTTTTAAGGATATGGAGTTTAGTAGTAACTGTCAAACAACACAAGCATTATTAATGACTAGTCAGTTTATAGAGGTAAGTTAAAAACTTGATCTATCTTATTTCATTGACTATTGGGGAGGGGAGTGAATTTATATCTTATTGCATACCTGTGTAAAATTACTGTTCTGAAACAAAAAGATTCATACACGGAAATTGTATTATATATTAAATAACACATACATCGAATTAGATCAGACTTATTTTCTCTTCTACTGACTCTGTTGATGACCCCATTTCATTCGCCTATTCGAGGCTGCAGTGTTACGTCACACTCTTTGTATCACTACTAAGCCCCTGAAATATTGATATAAGATATGATGCTAAATTGCCACTCAGAAGTTAATATCAATAAATAAATAATATAAATAAATATCATCTGAAGTTACTCAATTCCAAAAATTGAAATTCAATGCAAAATATAAACTTTGGGTTGGATAGGAATAAAGACATTTTGGCATGATGAATGGTTTATAAATATATTGCAATTCACTACTAATTCTTATGTCTTTATCCTGTTACACAATCAGCACCCTTGCCAGGAATGAATTTGTGCTGGCCGGGGCTCAGAGTTTGTACTCAGAAAATTTGGAAAATTAAAGACCCAGAGAACTCATTTCTGACAGTTTTGAGGTGACAAAAACATACCAAAATCTATATCTTTTTGACTTTGTACAAAGATACTGTAAATGAATCAATCTCTATGCTGAACTGAATAAGGTTTTGTTGGGGCTTAATTCTCACTTGCTGGAACCATGCCTCCATGGGCCCCACCCAACGACAGAGCTGGCGATAAAATGAAGCGGTTTTCTTTTAACTTTCAATTATTTGAATTACTGGAATAATATTACTAGTATTAAGAACTGAACTGAAGAAGATTTTGCTGGGGCTTAATTATTACTTGCTGGGGCCCAGCCCCCACAGACCCCAATCTAATGACGGGGCTCTACACAATAGTCTTTTAGTCTTGGAATGTTCCAACTCATTGGTCATGTATAGTTTTGTGTCTGGAGACTTGTTTTCCATGTATGACTGATTAATAAATTGAATTATAATTTCAAGCCACTTAGTGCCAGAAAAGTAGAGCATGACAGAGTCAGAAAATCTGTTAAAGACAATTGGGTGAAGGAATTTAAGAAAATGGTAAGCTGTGAATGTTTTATCTTTACGTTTAAAATGAATTGCTGAAGGCTTATGGTCTCATTGAGCTTATATTATATAATCATTAGGTTTGAGCCAAAGAAATTGCTCAGTTACAATGAACAAATGGTGGTCTTACTGCATTCAGCTGGTGACCTTGAATAAGTCATCTCAACAGTCTGGGAAAGATCATTGTTATGAGATTTAGCCAAGGAATTACTAGTAGACAGGATCCTTATGAACACAGCGTTTTTCATCCTTATAAAACTTTGTTTGCTCTCCTTTAAGAAAGGGTTGTTTCAACAAAAATATTGTTCATTTTATGTTTCTAACATGGCATGGGAATGAATGGATGCTATTTGGACTTTAGAGGTATGAGGCATCTTTCAAAAAACAGAAGTCAAGAATGTATGATTTTAATTATAAACATGAGCTGTGCACTATTTTTTAAAGATAGTTTAACAGGTAATGAACACAGCAGAAAACTGGCTTGAAAGCATTAATTAGTATTTATTCTACTTGATTACCTTCCTTGCTAAGGTTTTGAATTGTACCTAAGAGTATAGTTTATGGTTTATTTATGGTATTAAGCCACAAAAATCTGTGGTGAAGACACATTTGATATATTAAATATTATCTCTATATAGTGCAGGGTTATAAGTAATGATTTCTGCTTTTTTTTCAATATAAAGCATGAAGCCGTATCAAATTTGAATAGAGCTCAGTCTTTATATATAACACGTCAACAAGATTATGAGAGAGCTAGACTGGCTGTAAATAAAGCAGAAGGAGATAAACTAGAGAAGAAGAAGAAATTAGAAGAGGAGGCTATGCACAAGGTAATATCAGGGCCAAAAACTCTCTCCTTCTAAAGTGATTAAATGGATATAATATAGTTGTTCTGGTTTTACTTTTCTAGTTAATAAACTTATCCATGACATTTTTCTGACTTCTCTACAATTAAAAAAATAAAGGCAGACCAGTAGGGGTACGGGGGAGGGGAGGGGAGGGGGGTATGCAAAATGGTTTGTACCCCTCCCGCTAATTCATTTCTAACAAGTTAGAAATATGTTTAAACATCAGGATTTACCAAATTGAGCCAATGAAACAGAAGTGACATGAGTCTGTAATTAAGGTTCTTCAAACATACCATCATAATGAATGTATATGGCTGTATTTTGATTGAAAGAATAACAAGATGGTATATCTCTTTACAGGCAGCTGAAGCAGAAACTACTTATAAAGCTTGTGTAGCTGAAACAAACAGTAAACATAAAGAACTAGAAAAATTGAAGGTAAATACTTCTACATTGTAAATACCATAATTAGTGTTTTCAATACCATAATTAGTGTTTTCAATACCATAATTAGTGTTTTCAATACCCATGATTAGTGTTTTCAATACCATAATTAGTGTTTTCAATATCATAATTAGTGTTTTCAATACCATAATTAGTGTTTTCAATACCATAATTAGTGTTTTCAATACCCATGATTAGTGTTTTCAATACCATAATTAGTGTTTTCAATATCAATACCATAATTAGTGTTTTCAATATCATAATTAGTGTTACAATTAGAGACTACAGTTTTCATCCGATTTAAATGAAATTTTGTACGAAAATATATAATGATGAGATCTTAGTCAAGATTGAATTTGACGATTTTTGAATCAATGGAATTTG